GTCACAGATGCAATGTTGGTAGCGCTACTTGACATTTGTTTGTCATTAATGGTGAAGTGATATAGAAAGTCAAACCAGAAGCAAGAAATACTCATTTATAGTAGTATGCCTTCGCCGAACAATTGCCTAAGCACATCATTCTTATCCCTCTGCCCAACTCATTCAGGCGGTTTCAATTAATTCCTCCACCTTCCTTCCACCTCTTGTCTACAGTCTATTCCAAATGCGCATCGCCTAAATCAACTGGTCACCTATTACGTTGTTTAGTCTTTTCACTGTTAAGTTGTGCCTCTCGTAGGTCTCTCCATCCATTTTTAACATCTTATCTAATCGAACTTCATCATTTAAACTCGCCTTCTTTGTTATCCGTCTAGCTAAATCTTTTACAAAATTGTATTCTTATTTGATTTTGCCAAAAATACTGTACAGTGAAAGTATACTTACGTCGATCACAGTTTTCTCCGCTCCATCCCTTCTCACAGATTCGATTGCCATGCCGATCGCAGGTATATCGGCCGGCCTGGGGCTGACACTCCCTTGCACACTTCAAACCAAAGTGGTGTGGAGTGCAGGCGAGTCTCATACTCAGGCGATAGGTAGATGAAGTGGATTCAACCACCATGGACTGCCATTGAGGTGGTGTGGAGGGTAGAAGAATGTCCCGATGAACAGTCCTATCGACAAGGTATGGCGAGGCGGCCACTCCGTCTGACTTAGCATCGAATACCTCCAGAACCATAGTATAGAGAGTCTGAAGAAGTAAAATAGACAACTGAACAAATTGTTTGTCCACTAATTTGGTAACTCTTCAAAAAAATGTCCATCAATACAAGACCTCTTTACCGGTTAGTGAAATATAACTTGGACTCAGTGGAGAGATTTAAGTATGAAAGGAGGAGATTTTCGTGAAACTCAACACTGTGTGCGGGGCAACATGGAGGAGCTGCTGCACGAAGCAAAGTTGTCTGCTTTCCCATGGCCTGTGCTTTTAGTCATCTACTGCCTCCTACATGTGGTCCCATTTAGGAATTAAATAATTTAACCTTACTTAGAAAGGTGAATTTTCCAGAGGAAATAATTTTCTACGTCTACATTGCTTTTTGAGCTTAAGAAGTTCACGAGTGGAGGCATTTTAACCACCTTAACAGCCCTCATCAGGCCAACTTCCTCTCTGTGCCGTTTAGTACGAAAATTAGCGCTACAGAATGGTACCACGCAGTCTACAGGGACGGTTATCTGGTTTTCAAATAAAAAGTCATGGAACAAGCCTAAACCTCTAAAATAGTCTTCTGACACCTCGAGAGACTGCTAGATTAGCGACTGGTCTAATAAAAAATGCAAAAGTCCCTTGCAAGAGGTATAGGCGGAGGAAGGGGTAGACGGTTCGTCTGACATGTCAAATATGAGACCTTTTCGATGCACACAGAAGAGGAAACTTCTAGTCTAACCTAAGGTGTTAACTAAACTGTTTTACCACTCCCATAGATTAGCTGAATGTTTTAGTTTAACGTGACTATTAAAGGCCTCTCTAGCTGACAAAACCGTCCAAGTCTTGTCGGAACTAAGTCATCTAGGTGAGAAATGGCCTCTTACATGCACTAATTATACAACGTCTCATCTTCACAGCCTTTTACAAGTGCGGTGGTGTCGATTTCCAGAAGTGTGGAGTGGATCGTTCTTTCAACTCCCTTTGTCAGTCTTATTTTGCATGCTTGTGTTGGTGAAGCTCGAGTTGCGCAAGTGGACTCACAATGAAGACACCACTAATTTCCCATGGGAAATTATGCTCAATGCAGTTAAACAATCCAACAACTAGCAATTACCCGTACTTTT